GATCAAGTCAGCGGAGCACAATGCGATCATGGCCCAGGATTACGGCCTAAAGGAGGTAAGTTGATCCCTAAAAAGTATATAAGAATTTCCAATCTAATATTCTCTTTCGATTCCTTGCAGATTTGCAGTGCCCAGATCGATATGCATGTGGTTGAGGGCACACATAGGACTTTCCTCAAGGAGCCGCACACTCTGCAGATCATCGAGCGCGTCTTGAGGAAGCGTCCCTAGTGGAAGACCAGTAGTTTGTAGTTCCAATCCCCTAATTATGTTGAAGATATCCTTTGTAGATTTTAATATACCCCCTAACCAAAACAATACACGTAGCAATCTTTCAAAGATTGTTTAATTATAATCGACTAATTTCAGTACAGGCGAACTTTTTTAGTTAGAACTTTGCGAAATTAACAAACTATTAAGATATAGTATTTATTTTTGATTTCATAACTTATTTAATTGATGATTTAATATTGTTTTCGGTTAGAGAAGTTCGTGCTGTGCCTCAATTCTTAATCGCAAATTAATGTCGCGTGGTACTCGCATGATTGTCTCGATGAATCACATCGATCCGATCATTCTGACCCGTGCTGGCTGGCTTTATTGACCCGCTAGAGCAGACTTCGGTTCGGCGTACCTTTCCATAATTGATAATGCCGCCCACTCTATCGCGCCCGTGATCTCGCCAGACGATTAATAATCGACGAAAAAGTGGTCAGACTTTGGCGGGCAAATCAAAATTTGTACATCTCCGTCACGCACACAACAGCTGAACACTTATCGCTGTTAATGCGAATTTAAGCGCCGCACAGAGTCCAGCAACAATAACAGAGGTTTACAGGGAGTAAGAGCAACGAGGAACCAAGATAACTTGGGTAAGCCGCACTACACATACCCTATATTGTTTAAATATTGTTATATACGCACCTATCCTTCTATAAATCAAACAATATTTAGTAATTTTACCTGATAACTATCATAACATTTTATATTCTTCCATTCTTTTTAGGACTGTTTAATATTTATTATATTTTTTAAAAAAAGTACGTTAATCCTGTAATATTAAACGAAATATAAGTATGTTTGGAAACATAACAACATGAAACAAAGTAGATTAATTTTAATCTTGATCTCAATACATATACAAAACAAGAAAAGGAAACCGGATCGAATAACAAATAGAGGCTTATCGTGAAGGTCTACAAGGTCGGGGATTCGAAAAGCTGTCAGAATCTGTAGAACTCTCTGCAAGGGCATTTCTAACATAACAGTGACCCCACTATCGCATCGCCCACAAGGGTTAACGCTAACAGAGAGCCGTTCAGAGCGGAGAGAGAGCAGCGCCGCGGAAAGCTCTCTGCCGGCGTCGGCGTCGCGTCGGCGGGCGTCATATAAAAGCCGGCGCTCACCTGATTCTCGCATTTCCGTTTGTCGCAGCAGCCCGCCGTTGTCGTGTTTTTTAATAACCGCTACGCTACGCTACGTTTAAAACCTCAATAATTTAACCGTGTGTGGCAAAGTAATTTGCAAAGAACAGAAAACCTAACGGTACTAACGCAGAACGGAGAACTTCGAGTCGAAAGCAGAAAGTTCGAAAGTCGCTGGATTATAACGGTTTCCCCACTCAGTCAGGACCAACTGTAAAGGAACACCCCACTTGTATATCCACCACGATCCCTGCCGCCCGCTCTACTCCAGGAACTCGAAAAACAGCTGTCGAGGAATCGCCTGATTTCTAGGTATGTACAAAAAATGGCAGCCGCAGGAATAAAACAGCCGCCCTTATCCATGTGGGCAATGCCAGTGTGTGCGTGCGCTTGTGCCTGTGTTTGTGTGCAAGAGAAAATGAAAACGAAATTTTCTGGAAGTGAATCGCTAAAGAAAAAACTATAATAAAAGCTGAAAAGTGTGAAGAAAAAATAGAGAAAAATGGTTAGATCCAGAGTTTACAAAGTGATCATTCGCTAAGTCAGCTAAAAATACGAATTACTAAATTTCGCCTTTGCTCGGTTCGCACTTGGCTTGCAGCGCTTACGGTTTGACCTTTAGGACCCTTGGGCCCCGCCGAGTGGTATTCCTAACGCCCCCTCAAACAGCTAACAGCAGTTCCTGTGTATTCAGACGAGCAAATTACTTGCTAATTGCGAAAGGGGGAAATGGGAAAGGTCGAAATCCCAATCCCAGACTCCCATTCCTTATAAAGGGCTTCTCTATAGGGTTTCGCCCTCTAATTGTCAGCCAGAAGCAGCAAAAGTAAAATAATTTATTCAAGGGATGGGTAGTGCAAATACTGGAATTGAATACTAAAGTTACAATCCTGAATAAAATAGAAATTTAAAGAAATTCATTTTAAAAGGATCCCTAAATAGTTACAAGTACAATTTTGCAAGCCACTGAACATTTCAAATTAGTGTAGGTCATTTCCTGGTTGCGTGTTCCAAATTCATTATTTTTACATTCATGCTAACTAAACAACCATTAAGACAGTTACTCAAAAATTAAATATTAAATTGCTCTTAATATGAAAATATTCCTAAATAGAAGTCGTAAACCATTCAACTACAGCCAGCCATTGTAAACAAATATTACACAATTGTTATACAAAATTACTTCGATAAATGTATGATCCAGTAAATTATACAAAATTCAGCAATTGATCACGTTTCTAAACGATATAGTTCTAAGAATCTTTAGAATGCCAAAATAGTTGAAATTCGGTTATCAGCACCTTCAATCGCTTTGCATAATACCAACTCGCCCCGAAACCCATAAAAACAACACACACTCCCAGCCCAACAAACAAGAATCGTGCGATTGGAAAATTTCGAGTGTCTGGACTAATCTTTATCGGCGAATAATGTCGCTTCCTGAAGTACACGCGTCCACTGGCGATCAAACATTTCCGAACCAGGTGCACAGTTGTATGAGTAGGCATTGCCTTACCATCCTTATCAGGGCGTTTCGGAATCACCCCATGGCCCAGTCTCAGTTCCTGTCCCCAGGCATTATCACTGTGTTCATGAACTTGAAGCGTCACCAAAATCAAAAATTTCGATGGGGTGGACGAGTGGGAGCAGTAGGGAGGGCCTGTAGTGACGCGTACGAGAGTACTCTCTTCAGGCCCCAATCGATAACTGTGAAAATAGAACCGAGTGCATAAATAAACAATGTAGAGTGCCCTATGGAAAAGGGAGGGGTATGGCATGGGCATGGGTATTGTATTGTTTGTCTCCGTGTTTACCTATCCAATGACGCAACTTTCGCAATATGGCCTGATGATGGATGGGATCGATTGGGGGCGGGGGCTATCGATAAATCAATACCGCCCGCCCCGTGTAATTACTGTAAAAGGATAGTTCGCGCCCTCCGATTACAAGTTGATCCGGGGGCAGATCCAGCGATCTAGGGAGGGAAGAACCGGGCAACCGAAACTATGAAAATAATACTTCAATGAACTTGAGAAATCACGCCACCTTATCTCACCAAACAAATGGTACACGCGTCGAGCTCGTGAGTGTGTGTGTGTATCGGTGGGGACTAATGGGTCTGGGGCCTTACTATATGTACATAAGTCTGCCCCGCCGGTTGGCGTGCAAATTTCGTTTCTCTCTTTTGCTCCCACCTCCAAATCACCGATTCCGATTACAATAGCAAAACATAAACATAGAATCCAGACGCGACTGTCTTGTCGAGCAACGGCCTCTTGATAGGGAGATAAGCTCGCTGAGTCTGCCGATTTTACCGGCAGTTCATTGGTACACACGGAAAAATTAGGCCAATTTAAAAATAGTTTCTGTTCAATTATGGTATAAATAGTATAATACAGTATAATAGTTTAGGTCAGCCTCAGAATATGTCATAGTTACATATATCAAAATAACTAGGTTTCTTGTTTATTGGGTATCATAAACATTCTTTATAGAACTTTGAAATATTTTCTTAATATTGTTTTGGTTTTTTTTTATACAGTTTTCAAGTTCTGAATTTTTAAATAAATATAATTGTAACCCATAATAACAAAACTTATGAATCACACTTTCAGTTGTATGATCCATTTTATTATAAATAGTTATATCAGAAATGTTCAGAGTACCAAGGTTAGTCAAGAAAGTAGAGCTATTTATTAGAACAAATTTGGTATTTATATTTGCCCAGTGTATTGTTTATTTCGGCTTTGTTGCTGACGGCTCTGGTTCTGGCTCTTCCTCTTCTAACGACGCTTTTGGATTCGGGTTTCCAAAGTTTGGGTTTCAGCTGGAACCGACTTCGTCACTGTGGTTGTGCCGCCAACTCTGCTCATTCCATTCCACTTCCCTTCTTTTGTTGAATCATTCCCACATCGCATTCGCACATCGTACGAGTTTCTCGGCGAATAAGAAAGCAGCTTGCCATTCGCTCAGCGGGTGGGGTGGCCTATGTTAACGCAAACGGTGTTGCACTGTTAACGAGCATAGCTGCCACAAGTTGCTGTTAACGGTCGTTGGTTGTCGGCGGGTTTTCACTCCGCGGCTTCAAAGCGGAAAGCCGCCCATAACAAAGAGTGCCGTGCGCGGTCAAAGCTTCGCCGGCACGGCATCACCTGATTTGCAATTTGTACACTAACTTTCCACCAGCTGAACATCTGGAAAAAAACAAATACATTGCCCCGGCATCCCGCTCCAGAGAGCGAAAGCTCTGCAACGGCGAGTGGCTGAGAGCTTTGGACCTATGTTAGCTTAACAGAGGGGGTTACCAACAAAGTTTCAAAAAGTCTGGCAGAATTTGGAAAAAATGTTTTTTGACCTTTATTGTAAATATATATTTTCTAAGAGCTAAGCTTAAATAAGTACTGTAAAAAATATTTGTTTCCGTTTTTCCTTTAATAAAAAAAGAATTCAGTAAAAATTAGTAAATAAATTATTACAAATTAGGTAAATTTTGGTTATTATATCCTTTAACTTTGTGAGTTTAAATGTACCATATTTTAACAAACTTTTTCCTCTTCTCGTATTCAATTACAGCCCCTACAACTAAACCTGTTGCAAGCCGTGGACCAGCCGCATCCTGTTGCTTTTAAGCCCAACAATTGCAGCACCCATCAGCCCCATCATTCCCCCAGCACCCAAAACAACGGAAAAAGTGCACGCGCCAATCGCCGCCGACGCCGTAGACGCAACAAACATCAGCAGAATTCGCAGCAGCCTGACGCCTTCCGCGATCCAGACACGCAGCTAACACCGAGCACCTCCTCGTCCACCCCGCACTCTGCACCCAACGATAGACAGGACCACTTAGACTCCCACTTCAATTCCCAATCCCAATCCACATCCAACAAGATGCCCGCCCGATTCGCCGAGGAAGTTATCACCGCTGAGCCCGCACAGCGTGCCGCCCCCCAATTGGACCTGGGTGGTGGTAACTATGTGCCCCGCCAGCAGCACCTCAACGATGAGATCGCCATCACCGGTTTCTCCGGCCGTCTCCCGGAGAGCTCCACCATCGAGGAGTTCAAGCAGAACCTCTTCGACGGCGTGGACATGGTCAACGACGATCCCCGCCGCTGGGAGCGAGGTAAGATAAAGATTATTAAGGTGTTCCTTTCCGATACGTAAATCACCTGTTTCCCTTCCTTACAGGTCTTTATGGACTGCCCGACAGGATCGGCAAGCTCAAGGAGAGCGACCTGGAGAACTTCGACCAGCAGTTCTTCGGTGTGCACCAGAAGCAGGCCGAATGCATGGACCCTCTGCTGCGCATGCTGCTCGAGCTGACCCACGAAGCCATCATTGATGCTGGCTTGAACCCCAGTGATCTGCGTGGATCCCGCACTGGTGTGTACATCGGTGTGTCCAACTCGGAAACCGAGCAGCACTGGTGCAGCGATGCAGACCGCGTGAACGGCTATGGCCTGACGGGATGTGCCCGTGCCATGTTCGCCAACCGCATCTCCTTCACCTTTGATTTCAAGGGACCCAGTTACAGCATTGACACCGCTTGCTCCAGTTCTCTGTACGCCTTGGAACAGGCCTTCTCCGATATGCGCGAGGGAAAGGTCGACAATGCCCTGGTCGCCGGAGCTGGTTTGATCCTTAAGCCCACCATGTCGCTGCAGTTCAAGCGACTGAACATGTTGAGCCCCGACGGTAGCTGCAAGGCCTTCGATGAATCCGGCAACGGATACGTCCGTTCCGATGGTTGTGTGGTGCTCCTTCTGCAGCGCACTTCGGCCGCCAGGCGTGTGTACGCCTCCATCCTTAATGTGCGCACCAATACCGATGGTTTCAAGGAGCAGGGTATCACCTACCCCATTGGCAAGATGCAGAACCGCCTGATCCGCGAGACTTACGAGGAGATTGGCCTGAACCCCGCCGATGTGGTGTACGTGGAGGCCCACGGTACTGGCACCAAGGTGGGCGATCCCCAGGAGGTTAACTCCATCACCGACTTCTTCTGCAAGAACCGTACTAGCCCCCTGCTGATCGGATCGGTCAAGTCCAACATGGGTCACTCTGAGCCCGCCTCCGGTGTCTGCTCGGTGGCCAAGATCCTGATCGCCATGGAGGAGGGCGTCATTCCCGGCAACTTGCACTACAATAAGCCCAACCCCGACCTTTACGGACTCGTTGATGGCCGCCTCAAGGTGGTGGACAAGAACCTGCCCTGGAACGGAGGTATCATTGGTCTGAACTCCTTTGGTTTCGGTGGCGCCAATGCCCACGTTATCTTGAAGTCGAACCCCAAACCCAAGGCCCTGACTCCCAAGGATGGAGCCCTGAAAGTGGTTCTCGCCTCTGGACGTACCTTTGAGGCTGTGGAGCAGCTGCTGGAGTCCGCCACCACCCATGCCGATGATGATGAGTACCTGCAACTGATCAACGACATCCACTCGAAGGCTATTCCCAACCACTTCTTCCGTGGCTACGGAGTGGTCAGCAGCAAGGGCACCCACCAGCGTGAGGTGATCGAATCCACCGACGAGAAGCGTCCCGTTTGGTACGTCTACTCCGGCATGGGCAGCCAGTGGGCCAGCATGGCCAAGGATCTGATGCAGATTGAGGCCTTCGCCAAGACCATTCAGCGTTGTGCCGATGTCCTGAAGCCCGAGGGAGTGGATCTAATCGATGTGCTGACCCGTTCCACGGACAAGAGCTTCGAGAACATCCTGAACTCGTTCATCTCGATCGCTGCCATGCAGGTGGCTCTGACGGATCTGCTCAGCTCTCTGGGCATTCATCCCGACGGAATCGTTGGACACTCGGTGGGAGAGCTGGGATGCGCCTACGCCGATGGCTGCTTCACCCCGGAGCAAACCGTGCTGGCTGCCTACTGGCGTGGAAAGAGCATTCTGGACACCCAACTGGTCAAGGGCAAGATGGCCGCTGTGGGATTGAGCTGGGAGGACGCGCACAGCCGTGTGCCCAGCGATTGCTTCCCGGTGTGCCACAACAGCGAGGACAACTGCACCATCTCCGGTCCGGAGGCCTCCATCGAGGCTCTGGTTGCCAAACTGAACGAGGATGGAGTCTTCGCCAGGGCGGTGAACTCCTCTGGATACGCTTTCCACAGCAAGTACATCGCTGAGGCTGGACCCAAACTACGCAAGAGCCTGGAGAAGATCATTCCCAACGCCAAGAACCGCACCGCCCGCTGGATTAGTACCAGCATCCCAGAATCCGCTTGGAACTCTCCCGTGGCCAAGCAGTCTTCGGCCGCCTACCATGTCAACAACCTGCTCTCGCCGGTGCTCTTCCACGAGGCTCTCCAGCACGTGCCCAAGAACGCCATTTCCATTGAGATTGCTCCCCACGGTCTGCTGCAGGCGATCCTCAAGCGCGCCCTGGGTCCCGATGCCACCAATCTGAGTTTGGTGAAGCGCGGCCACGAGAACAACGTGGAGTTCTTCCTCACCAATGTGGGCAAACTCTTTGCCGCCGGTGCCCAACCTCAGGTGCTGAATCTGGTGCGTCCCATCACCTACCCGGTCGGTCGTGGAACCCCCATGTTGAACTCCAAGGTCGGATGGGACCACAGCCAAAAGTGGCTGGTGGCCAAGTTCGGCAAGGAGACTTCTTCCGGTGAGACCATCGTGGAGGTGGATCTCTCTAAGGAGGATGATGCCTTCCTGGCTGGACACACCATCGATGGCAGGATCCTGTTCCCGGCCACCGGTTACATGACCCTCGCTTGGCAAACCTTCGCCAAAATGCGCGGCAGTGAGTTCCACAAGACACCCGTGGTCATGGAGAACCTCGTGTTCCACCGCGCCACCATTCTCAACAAGAACGCCGTGGTCAAGTTTGGCATAAACTTCTTTGACGGAACTGGCGCTTTTGAGATTTGCGAGAGCGGCAGCTTGGCGGTTTCCGGCAAGATCACCATTCCCGAATCCATTGACAACGAGGAGCTGCCCCTGGAGGAGCAGACTCCCAGCGCTGTGGCCAAGGAGCTGGTGACCAACGATGTGTACAAGGAGCTGCGTCTGCGTGGCTACGACTACGCCGGAATTTTCCGCGGCATCGTTCGCTCCGATACTGTGGCTTCCACCGGTAAGCTTCAGTGGGTGGACAACTGGATCAGCTTCATGGACACCATGCTGCAGTTCAGTATCCTGAGCAAGAACCTCCGTGAGCTGTACCTGCCCACTCGCATTGAGCGAGCGGTGATCAATCCTGCCAAGCACCTGGAGCTCTTGGCTGCCCTCACCAAGGAGGAACAGCTTGAGACTGGACTGCCTGTGCAGTGGTACAGCGACATCAACGTGATCAAGAGCGGTGGCGTGGAGCTGCGAGGCCTGAAGGCCAATCTCGCCCAGCGTCGTCCTGGCACACAGGCTCCTCCCACTGTGGAGCGCTATCAGTTTGTGCCCAACAACAACACCACCGATCTGCACGAGAACTCCGAGAAGGCTCGTCTGCACGCTTTGGATGTGGCCATTCAGGTGATCATTGAGAACTCCAGTGGAGCCGTGAAGCTAAAGGGTGTGGAGCTGGCCAACGGACGCAACCCCGATGTGCTGGTTGCCAACCGCCTGCTGCAGATTATCGAGGGTGAGCCCGTGCTCACCGGCGATGTGGCTGTGGCTACCTCAAACAACAATGAGGAGACCATCACCGCCGCACTCGGCGATTCCGGTGTGCGAGTGGTGTCCAAGGATGTGCTGAAGGAACCAGTTGAGCAGAACTGTCACTTTGTCTTTGGTATCGATGTTCTTTCCCGTCCGGACACCAAGACCCTGGAGAACTCCATCGCTAGCATTCGCGAGAACGGCTTCCTGATCCTCGAGGAGACGCTGCCCACTTACACCAAGACGGGTCGTGCTGTGCTGGCCAAATTTGGCTTCGTTGCTGTTCAGGAACAGAGTCTGGGAGCCACCCGTGTCCTGGTTCTGGCTCGCAAGGCCTTGGATCTGAAGACCCGTAAGTCCGTCGTGGTTGTGGCCACCGAGCAGAACTTTGACTGGGTTGATGACCTGAAGGTAGCTTTGGCTACTGCTTCCACCGAGGAGCAGTACGTGTACGTGGTTTGCCAGGGAGAGGAGCTATTCGGAGCCGTGGGTCTGATGACCTGCATCAAGAACGAGAACGGCGGCAAACTGGCCCGCCTTGTCTTTGTCCAAGATGCCAAGGCTGAGAAGTTCTCCCTGACATCGCCACTCTACCGCCAACAGCTGGAGAAGGACCTTATCTCGAACGTGCTGAAGAATGGAGCTTGGGGAACCTTCCGTCACCTGAAACTGGAGACCCAACAGGCAACCCTCCAGGTGGAGCACGCCTATGTCAACGCTTTGGTCAAGGGAGATCTGGCCTCGCTCAAGTGGATCGAGGCTGCCCAGGCGGATACTGCTGCCACCGTTGACAAGAACCTGGAAACCTGCACCGTCTACTATGCCCCCATTAACTTCCGTGACGTTATGTTGACCTCGGGCAAACTGGCCGCCGATGCTCTGCCCGGAGATCTGGCTGAGCAAGATTGTGTGCTGGGTCTGGAGTTCGCTGGACGCGACACCCAGGGCCGTCGTGTGATGGCCATGGTGCCAGCCAAGTCCCTGGCCACCACCTGTGTGGCCAGCAAGCGCATGATGTGGCAGATTCCCGAGAAGTGGACCATGGAGGAGGCCTCCACCGTTCCCTGTGTGTACTCCACCGTCTACTATGCTTTGGTTGTGCGCGGACAGATGAAGAAGGGTGAGAAGATCCTCATCCACGCCGGATCCGGAGGAGTTGGTCAGGCGGCCATCTCTGTGGCTCTGGCCCATGGATTGACCGTGTTCACCACCGTGGGCAGCAAGGAGAAGCGTGAGTTCCTGCTGAAACGATTCCCCAAGCTGCAGGAGCGCAACATTGGCAACTCCCGAGACACCTCCTTCGAGCAGCTGGTGCTGCGCGAAACCAAGGGACGAGGTGTGGATCTGGTCCTCAACTCGCTCTCCGAGGAGAAACTCCAGGCTTCGATCCGCTGCCTGGGTCTCAATGGACGCTTCCTGGAGATTGGCAAATTCGATTTGAGCAACAACAGCCCACTTGGAATGTCCGTGTTCCTCAAGAACACCTCGTTCCACGGCATCCTTCTGGACAGTGTGATGGAAGGCGAGGAGGAGATGCAGAACCAGGTGGTTTCCCTGGTGGCCGAGGGCATCAAGACCGGAGCCGTGGTGCCCCTGCCCACATCCGTGTTTAACGACCAACAAGTGGAGCAGGCCTTCCGATTCATGGCTTCTGGCAAGCACATTGGTAAGGTTGTGATCAAGGTGCGCGATGAGGAGGACGGCAAGAAGGCGGTACAGCCCAAGGCGCGCCTGATCAACGCCATTCCACGCACCTACATGCACCCGGAGAAGAGCTACATCCTGGTCGGAGGTCTTGGAGGATTCGGTCTGGAGCTGACCAACTGGCTGGTGACTCGCGGAGCCCGCTACATTGTGCTCACCTCCCGTTCCGGAGTGAAGACCGGCTACCAGGGTCTGATGATCCGTCGCTGGCAGGAACGTGGCGTCAAGGTCGTGATCGATACCAGTGATGTGACCACCGCCGCTGGAGCCAAGAAGCTGCTGGAGAACAGCAACAAACTGGCTTTGGTCGGTGGCATCTTCAACTTGGCCGCCGTTCTTCGCGATGCTCTGATCGAGGATCAGACCGCCAAGGACTTCAAGACAGTGGCTGATCCCAAGGTAACGGCCACCAAGTACCTGGATCAGTACTCCCGCACCATCTGCACGGAGCTGGACTACTTCATCTGCTTCTCTAGTGTTTCCTGCGGTCGCGGCAACATTGGACAGACCAACTACGGTTTGGCCAACTCTGCGATGGAGCGCATTTGCGAGCAGCGCCAGGTGAGCGGATTCCCAGGAACCGCCATCCAATGGGGAGCCATCGGAGACACCGGTTTGGTTCTGGAGAACCTGGGTGACAACGACACCGTGATTGGAGGAACCCTGCCCCAGAGGATGCCCTCTTGCCTGCAGACCATCGACCTGTTCCTGCAGCAGCCCCATCCCGTCGTCGCCTCCATGGTGGTGGCCGAGAAGCGCAAGTCAGACCAGTCGGCTGGAGTCAGCCTAATCTCCACCATTGCCAACATCCTTGGTCTGAGGGATACCAAGAACATCCAGGACGGAGCTTCCCTTGCTGATCTGGGCATGGATTCGCTTATGAGCGCAGAGATCAAGCAGACGTTGGAGCGTAACTTCGACATTGTTCTTTCCGCCCAGGAGATCCGTCAGCTTACCTTCGGAGCCCTCAAGGCTATGGATGGCGGAGCTGAGGCCAAGCCAGCCGCCGCTGCTCCCGCCGCAGCTGCAGGTGCCACTGGAGCCGCTGATGCAACCATCAGCTCTGGAGGATCCTCGCGCACGGCCAGCCCGATGGGCGATGGAACCCAAGTGGTGTTCACCACTGCCCTCATCCCCACCAAGGCAATCGTTGCGCTGGAGACCAAGGCACCTGCGAATAGCAAGCAGAGCCCCATCTTCTTCGTTTCCCCGATTGAGGGCTTCGCCTCCGCTCTGGAGCCGCTGGCCAAGCGATTGGAGGTGCCAGCCTATGGACTACAGTTCACAGAAGATGTGCCCTACGATTCCCTTGAATCGGCAGCCAAGTTCTTCATCAAGCAACTGCGTTCCGTCCAGCCAAAGGGTCCGTACAAGCTAGCCGGTTACTCATTCGGCTGCCTGCTCGCCTACGTGATGGCCGGTATTCTGGAGGAGACCAACGAGGTTGCCAACGTGATCATGTTGGACGGTGCTCCCAGCTACGTCAACTGGTACACGAGCAGCTTCAAGCAGCGCTACACGGACGGCAGCAACCGGGACAACGACAACCAGAGCTACGGTCTGGCTTACTTCGGAATTGTGCTTGCCAACATCGACTACAAAGCGGTAAGTGTGCAGGATTATTTTTAGTTAAATAATAAAATCGAATAATCCTTGTTTTATGATCAACAGCTGGTGCGCCTGCTACTTTTGATCCCCACATGGGAGGAGAAACTCGAGAGGTTCGCTGAGCTGATGAGCAATGAGATCACCCAGCCCGCGGAAACGGTAAGAGCAGCAAGACTCCTACAAAATTTGGTTATATTTTATTAAATTATTTCTCTTTGCCAACCTGCAGATCAAGAAATCCGCCACTCTGTTCTACAAGAAACTGGAGCTGGCTGATGGCTACCTGCCCACTCTGAAGCTCAAGTCGAGCGTTACCCTGGTGAAGCCCACAGACAACTCTGCTAAGTTGGACGAGGACTACCGTCTCAAGGAGGTGGGTTTTACACACAGCCTAAAAAAAACAACTGTATTCTAAATATTGTTTTATATTCATAGGTCTGCACAAAGCCCGTTGAGGTTCACACCGTTGAGGGCAACCACCGCACCTTCCTTATCGAGGATCAATCGTTGAAGACCATCCAGAGCATACTGAAGCGTCTGTTTAACTAGGCTACACAGAGGATTAGCATAAGAGTTGTGGATGTGGCATAGCACTACGACCCACGACCCTCATCATCACCCACTCACCGTCACCGTCACACACATCCAATACTCGGGTTCTATGCACCATGTGGAGCCACGGAACACATCGACACCTAGTTAGCATACTTAGTGATTGAATTTACGTTGTTGAGCCGCAAGGAATCGCTCGCCCCATCCCAGTTACGCACAGCTAGAAGAGATAAGTCAACAAATCGGATTGGATTGGAGTGGATCGGATTGCATCGGCCTAACTGCTGTCTTGCAGGGCTGTAGACTTTGGTCCAAAATTTAGTCTATAGTGTCTACGATTCTGGGCAGTTGAAAGGATGCAAAACGAGAGACCCAATCCATTACACTTAACGCTTTGTGCACCGTACAGTTCCAGTACACGACATTCCTTGAGAGCTAGACGGCACTAGACGTCCCAACTTACCAAATATATCTTTTATGCTCTATCTATAATGTATGTCGCATATTCTAGTTTTATTGCCTAGTTGTAAGCCTACAGTTTGTAGTCGCGCATGTAATGAATTTCATTCCTCGAACTAACGCAAGAATAGAAACTACAAAATTTGTTATCTCTCTTGATGTATAAAATAATCGCAGAAAAATGATCACTCATGAATATTGTGGATATTAAAATTACACCATACTAAAAAATAATAATAAAATGTGTTCTTATTTCAAATTAAATTTGTATCTGATGGTATCCCACTTCCCATTCCCATTTCTAATTGATAGGAAATTCCATTGTTTTTGCACATCAGAACATTTCTTCCAATTACAAACACCACATATATAAAAGAATATAGTCATTTTTGAAACAATTACTTATTTATTTAAGGTTTTTTGAAATTATTTAGCAAAAAATATTTATAGGGATTTTTAACTGTACCATTTTACTTATTTTCTCTTTTGCAACTTATTCTCCGATGGTTTTCGCACCGTATCTTACAGAATATTCATGTTGATGGGTGCCGGGTCTTCTTATTATCTCACACATAATAAAAATAACATACTTAAAAGTTAATGACAATGCTGCGTGTTACAAAGTTAGCGTATCCTGAACCTATACATATAAAACTCGCATATTTCGGACACATTCCAATGATAACAAAATAAAAACGTAACGTAAACTAATGTAGTTAGGCTAGAACTAATATATAACTGATTCAGTACGAACTAATTGGTTTCAATTTCTTGCTTTTATTTAACGCTTTTATAAGGCATTAAAGACTAAATAATAAATACATGTATATAAAACACAAAATTAAAGCTTAGCTAGGTCGGCGATACAGCTGAAGACCTCTGACAATCTAATTGGTACATTATAATATAGACGTGGCGGGGGGACGGATACCTCCCCCAGGACCACAAATAGCGGGCATTAAGTTTTCAATTAAGGACATCGAGTGAGTGGTTTGTTTTGAGCTCAAGGGAGGTTATTATCTGGGGATCGAGGATCGAGTAACATGTACGATATCAGCGATTGCGAGTTGCGGTTAGAATACAATATCAATATCGCTAATCATACAAATACTTATAGAGTGTGGCATAGTAATAAGTTTTATGCAAATATTCATACTGCTTCATCTAAATGCTACCCATTACTGTATTCTGTTTTCTGATTTCCATTTAGTTTGAAACTGTTTTTAAATACGTAGCTTTATACGCTCTAAACTTGGTTTAGCTTTGTGTGTGGCATATCTTCGATCCTCCTTTTCAGCGCCCTTTAAAAAAATGTAATTCTTTTTTACGTTTCTTTATCGATTTCAATTCCCCCAAGTTACTGTGACGGCTCCGCTTGCTGTGCTCGACTAATTGTTAGATTATCATATTATTATTATTATATTTTATGAGCGCCTTCTATGAGCTACCATACTGCTAAATGCAATTATTTACACAAACATTTTCAGTTAAGAACGTACGAATTATCATTATATATTTTTGGGTATCTCCATCATTTCTGCACGGGGTCTATAGAAGTGAAAACGACAAGCTATGCTTCCTACTATGACTTCAATCTGCTCCTACCAGTCGCAAGTGCCGATTCCTAATCCCTTATTATTTTGTTTCACAAATTGGTTTCTAGCGCTTTAGAAGCTATCATCGCTGTCGCTGTGCTCCGGCTGTTCCTCGCCCACGATCAGCTCGTCCTCCTGATCCTCCACCTCAATGTCCTCGCTCTCGTAAGCCTCTTCGGCCGCCTCGGCGATCTGGTCGATCTGCTCCTCGTAGGCACCATGTCATGCCAGTCCATTGGCATCGGCGGCGTCCTCCGACCAGCTGACCTCCATGGGTGTGCAAGGCAGGGCCTCCTCGATGGACATGCGGGATGGTGGTTGCTTGGGCCGCTTGGACAGGGATCCGCCCGAAGCGGTACTCGAGGCGGAGGAGCTGCGCATCATATCCTCCGACGAGGCTGAGCAGCTCTCGTCCTCGGAGTTGGCCCCGGAAACCATGGCCTCGCCGGCCGACTCCTGAATCTCTTGGAACTTCTTGGCCTCGCTGGACATTAACTTCATGGTGGAGCTGCGTGGACGAATCTCTGCTCCCGGCGCTTGTGGTGAGCTGGAGCACAGGGGAGTATCATCATGCCAGTCGGCCAGGTGGAGTTCATCCTGCTGCCTCTGTCTCTGGCCAGAGGATTCGCAAACCGCTGAGCTGGAGGCCGAGGCCTTGATGCATACCGAATGGGAACGGGCGCGGGACAGAGGACGACCCTCCGTCTCCCCGGAGTGGCTGCTGCTCCTTAGCAGCGCCGTAGCCGACATGCTCTGGCTGAGGGGATTGGGATGAGCGGGGGATGAGCCTCCGTTTGTGGCCACACCATTGGAGTGACCATTGCTCGTCAAGGTCTGTCGTCGCTGGATGGGACACCGCTCGGTGCTGCTTCTCAGGGAACCAGCTCTTCGCACTATCTTCGAGGTATTGCCCTTGAACGAGGACTCATCATCGATCTCCAGGGTCCAACTGACCGAGTCATTGCGCTCGATCATGCCCTTCATTACCGGCGATGTGGGCGAGGAGGTGGTCACCGCAATGTCCAGGCCACTGCGACCCAAACTACAGCGGCTATTATCATGGGAGCTGGTGGAGCGATCCATCAACTTGGCCTCCGCCGCCTGGAGCTGCACGGATCGCTGCTTGAGGTGGTACTGCAACTCCTCCTTGTCGAAGGTGAGCCGCGTGCGCTTGATGCTCTCGTATTTGTAGGCCTTCTGCAGTTCTTCCATCTTCTGCTGCATGTCCCTGGAGGAGATTAGGTAAGGGTTAGTTGGGGTTTACTCTAAGGTCATTAACTAAGTACTTACTTTTCCTTTTCGGTCTTGGCCTCTAATTCGGTGCGCAGCATCTCGTTCTGGGCCTCTAGAAGGGCCACCCGGTTGCCCAGCTTCAGGCGCTCCTCGCTCTCGCGGATGAGGTCCGACTTGGCCTTGCTGAGGGAGGAGATCTCCGCCTGCTTTAGCTCCAGGACGCAGCGCAGGCTGTCGGCCTCGCTGGTCAGCCGGCTGAGTTCCGCTGAGGCGGGATCTGGCAGACTGGAGCAGGGACTGCGGCGCTGCGAAGATGTACGCAGCACGGAGATCTCGTCCTGGGAAAGAGCCAGGCGATCCCTCAAATCCCGCTCATTGTGCTCCTTGTTGGCCTTCAGGGTGTTCAGCTCCTTGGTGAGGCTCCTCACCCGATCGCTGAGCTCCTGCTCCCGCTGGTTAGCCTCCGAGAGGCGGGCGGCATGGATGTTCTCCTTGCGAATGAGCTTCTCGCGGTTCTCTTGCTCCTGGGCCTCCAGCTTCTGCAGGCGTGTCTGCAGCTCCAGGATCTTGTGCTCGGCGGTGGTCAGGTGCTCCTGCTTGAGGGTGAGTTTGTGGGAGACCTCCATGTGGTAGGCCTGCTGGGCCTGTTTGCTCTCCTCGTCCTTGGCGCGCAGTTGGGATTCCAGATCGCAGAACCTTTGCTTGGCAAGCATTTGCACCTCCAGTACTTTCTCCTCAGCTGGAAAGGGGGAAATCAAATCATTACATATGGGTGATTGGTTTAAGGAGATCAGCAGTACCCACCTTGCTTCAGTTCAGTGCGATGCAGATGATCCCTTTCCTGCTCCCTGGCGGCCCACTCCACATCCTTGGCATGCAGATCCTCGCGCAGCTGCTCGCAATCCCTCTGCGTCTGCTGCAGCAGCCGGATCGTCTCCTCCAGCGCTCCCTTGGTCCGGGCACACTGCTCTTTGGTCTCCTTGCAGGCAAACGCATCCAGCTGTAATCCGCAATAGAAACAAACGATCTTGGTTAGAGTCGAACCGCTATAAATCCAGCTATAAAGTTAGGGTCTCTTCAGGTAGTTAGGGTAATTAAAATGAAATTTTCATCTCGATCTCAAGAGTTTTGCACGGAAGTCGCACAAAGGCGAAATTGTCTGAGATTGAGACAATGTCTCAGAGTCGGGGAATTTCCGCGAGCTGACAATGGTTTTCGAGGGTCTCGTTCGAGAGGTTCATACATATCACGGTCAAAGGTTGTCTGGGAAATCCCACACAATAAATTTTTAAGATTTTTATTAGCTTTCGAAAATGCTTGGTTTCCTAAAACTTTTTTAACAATTCCTATATTTTTTAAAGTATTTTAAAAGTAAGAGTACCAAACCATACATTTACTTGTGTAGCTCTTAGCTTTTAAGATATTCAGAATTAAATATTTTTATCAACATATTAGTTCTATACTTTAATTTCCTTGTATAATAAAACATATATAATGTTCTTCTTGAACAATTTCTTTGTTTTTCTTCAGAAATTCACATTGTTAAACCATTTTAAATTTGTAGAAAACCTTGTTTCCATTGATCTACATCTTCTTATATGCAAAGCATACCTGTTGCTGTTCGAAGGCCTGGGAAAAATTGAAGTTATCCATAAAAGTGGTATTGTTTGGAGTGCTGGGCACCGTCCAACTGATGAGATCGATGTCCAAATCCATGGTCTGTGCCGATAGATTCTCGTTGGTGAACTCAAAATTCTCAAACATTTTGCTATATTTCGAAGAGCAGAGTCGCTGTGTGTTGAACACGAATACTTGAAGTAGACTGATGACAATTCTTGGGCAACCATCTGCTTTTATAGTGGAACAGCAGGTAGGAAGTGAAAGAGGAGGACTTCCGCAGGTAGCAAGAGGGATCAAACGAATATCCCCGGATATGGCCAGCAAAATATTTACGAGGGATTCTGAGGCAGATGAAAAAATGCAATTCTAAAAACATGCTGGGAAAAAGGGTGAAAGATTTGGGAATTTTGCTCCAGCACGCGGAGAAAAAACGAAACTATGCAATTGTGGGTGTATTCCTTTGGTGGTTGACGCCCACTGGCTGGCCAAAGATTTCCTGGGCGGATCCACCCATTCCGGCTTAAAGATCGCTGGCCAACTTCATGTGGTTTGGGATCAGCCATCGACCCTTCGGAGCATTTGTCACGCGTCTGCCAGCTGAAGGTGGAAGACAATTTTCCCTTTTTGGGGCGGCCACTGAGGGCACTTCAATTTCGCCGTAATGGCGCGCACCTTCTCTGCATCAGTTTGGGTGGATGCGTATCGAAGTGCCAGAGCGCCTCAAAGGATCTCGAAAGGACATGGGTTTTGGAGGAACTGGTGAAAATCATTTCAAGTGCCTCAAATTCGATCTATGAAATTGTAATTTGCATAGGAGTTTGGTTTCGGCTTAATTTGACAAATTACAATAAACCTTAAACCTTCAAGAATAAATCGAATACATAAAATATACTGAATATTCAAGAAACAAATAATGCTGTGATAGGTGACCATTTTCCTAGCCCTATACCACTACCAATATAATCTGGGTATTGTAAAATGAAATCTTCCACATAATTTAAGAAATTAATATCAATGAGTTAACAAAAAAAATACTCAAATTTCAGGAATAAGTCGAATACACAAAAAAATAGTGATAGGTGACAATTTGCTATCCCATCTTAATCCATTTTTATTACAACCAGCTCGTTAAATGTCAATAGAACATTTCTTTAACTTTTTTAGATTTTATGTTTTCGTCCTTATGTTAAACTAAACCTTAAAATGTAGAGTTTAACCCCTGTTTTAAGTTTAACATGCGGTTGATAAACCAGACAAGTATGGATAAAAAAGAAAACACTTTAAAAACCCATAATTTAATTTGTATAAGCTTAAGCCTTGCTTGAATGATATGTTTAATGTTTTCCAAATTAATTTTTAACTGGTTTTAAATTGTCCCGATCGATTGCAGCAGTCGCCAGTCGGCTGACCAAATCCGATCCCCAAATTAAGAGTTGCCGACCAAGTTGCAAATTGCCTTATCCACGTCGCCGTCGATCCTGTCCAGCAAATTAATAGCCATCATGTCGCTGTCTCCGTCTCCGTCTCAGTCGAAATGGAAATGGAAATGGAAGTCGGTGCCTCGATGGGTGACAGTCAAAGTGGGCACTGGCTACGATGACCGACCGGTCAAAGACAGCGGCATTTACCTGACGAGCGTCCTTGTCGCAATTAAAGTGTTGAAATTAGTGACTCGCCGCCGTGAAACTGGCTCGACTGGATTTAATCCTTTGCTGCAATCTAGGTTGCACACTTTGTAATTTATGGATTTAAGGCAATGCCATCGCCAACTGCAATTGTCCTTGGCATTTAATAACGCGCTGTAAAATGTGAAGACCTAATAAAAATGGACACGAGCCGGGTTGTCCTTTTCACAAACGATGCAATGTCCTTGTATCCCGACTACCTTGCCAGTTGCTCTTCCACGGTTTTCACACCAAATTGTGAAATCTCACTGGATCGTATTTAAATAAATATTTATGTTGCAACATCAGTTTAGGCTTTTAGTGGGAAAATATTGCGCCATTGCCTCGTTCGCCGGAATTAACAGAAAACCCAGGCAAATAAATCCCCTGCATGTTTGCATTTGCTGGCCCAAGCCGGTAGTCGCGTTTTCAACAAGTTAGCCAAATATTGTGGTATGCTCTCCCGTAATTCCCCCTAATAACACTGGGTTTGTTTTTTCCAAACGTGCCTAAAACAAATACCGAAGACCCTAGACAAATACGCATATTGCATGTGAGCATATGCAAGCGCCAATTGTTCTTGGGAAACTATTTAAGTAATTGGGGGTTTGTTTATAATAATTATTAAAAGAAAAATATTCAAACGCCATTGAGACATATGTGGGTTCTTAAAAAAACCTAAGCACATTCTGAAAAAATAGGAAAAACCAGAAGACATTTTGACAAAACTGATAAGCATTAATGGTAATTTATACCAAATAAATGTTGAAAAAATTGTAGAACATAAAAAAATATTTCAATATGTCTAAGCCAAAAAATGAATTTATTTAATGTTTTTCTTATAATACAAATAATAATGTATAAGTTGCGTTAGCTTAAAAAATTTTGAAACAATTTTGGGACTTTAAAAACTGTTTAAAATATCCCTTTACTAAAATAATGAATTGTTCAAGGCTGTTTGTTTACCTAAATATTTATATAACTTGTGGAGTCTAAATTAAAGGTTGCGAAAATATTAGAATATTAAACTCGTTTGAATACGTTTTAACTAAAATAATGAACTTATTGTTTAATATAAATATAAGTCTTGGTACTTTAAATGATACTATACTATAATAATAATACTTGGAAAAAATTCAAAGGCATGTGACTCGAAACTTTAAAAAAAATATATCGTATTCATTTAAATCATTTTTGATAACTATTATCCACCTTTTGACAATCCCCAGCTGGCGAATTAAACGAGTTGAGTTCTTTTCTTCCCGCATTGCACAACTTCCTGTAAATTCCCCCGGCTCAGGGTGCAAAAATTCCGACAACAGCTTAAGGGATTCCGGAATTTCTCGCCACATTAATGACTTTCCTTTCAAAAAAAGAGAAGAATCGCTTGCAAATGGCCAACGCAAATGACATCAATACAATGCCAGCAGCTGATGGCCCGGGGAATTATCTTTTCATTTGCGGATTGTGTCACTTTCAGCTTGCACAAGACTTAAGACCGGCTGAAATCAGATGATTTTCCAGCAGCAGCAGTTGTTTCCATTATCCTGACAGCATTGTGCATGTGTTGGCCCAAAGACAATGGATTTACGCAATTGTCAACATTTTTGGTAACACACTAAAGACGACACAACTTGGGGGGAAAATGTGCTGTACAGACAAGTTCAAGCAAATCAGACAAATCAGAAATTCGAAAATTCTACCTAAAGCAATTGTGGCTGAAAAGTCAGCAGACAAACATCATCATAAATCGATTTATGATGTACGCAGATGAGGTCTGCCTAGAACCTCCCCTATATGCAAATGTTAAACTAATGCATTTCGCATTTGTCGCCGATTTTTATGGCCTTGGTATTGTGATTTAATGGAGGTGAAGAAGGGGACTGCCTTTAGAATAGCAGGTACATTTTTTTAAAGCCCGTCCCTTCCGCATCCTTTAGCAGGCTTTTCAAGCAGAAATCTTGCCAAAACTCACACCGTATACCCGCGAATTTTCGTTTTGTTCCATCAGAATCCTTTACACCGAAAAATGGCAAACAATTAATTGAATAGCCATCTCACACCCTTTCGTTTTTCAGCCCGGGAAAAGGCTTTCACGGTCGGCAAAGGGTAGGGGTTTAAAGCAAGGGGAATTTTCCCAACTTTTGTTCGGAATTTTCGGTATAGTTTTTAATTAGTGCAAACACAAAAAGTGCACCCATATCCGGGGCTCAGTTTTCAGGGGTTCGGAGTTTCATGGCTTAGCCCACACTGACACAATTAAACAAAATTAGCTCAACTTTAAGCATAGATTAAGGCAAATTTCTCAAACAATGAGGGCTGCACATGTGAAACAATTCGGGAATTATTAGAGCAGGTGATCCCGATCCAAGGATACTCGGCACATGTTCAGGACAATGACAAAGGGCAGGGAAAGGTATAGATATGCCAGTAGTATCTTTTCGATTTGCCTTCAAAGGGCTTATAAATCCCTGGCGCCTGTTTTCCCAGCAAATCCCTCAACCTCACCCTTGCTGATCCCAGATCCTTACTCCTTATGCTTCTTAAGTTATACTTCTGAACTCACCTCTTGGGACATGAACTGCACCATGACGGCGAATCCCATGACCTGGCGGTGCTCCTCTCGCCGCTCGAACTGGGTGTCCTCGAGGAACTTGGCCAAGCGGGCACAGTCCAGCACTCCGTTATCCGCGAAGGGTTTCAGGACGGGATACTGGGCGACTATATCAACGCGGGGCGTGGCCATCATCGTCATCGAGCTGACCGACGTTCCCACTTCGCTGGACAAGGACAAGGCGCTCGGCTAATGGTTAAATATAACAAAAAAGATAATGCGTTAAATAAATAATTAATACCTTGAAAAAATATAAAACTACAAATTTACTGATTTAAATAATGCCCAATTAATGCTGTGTAATGTTTTTGTGTTCCTGTCAAACTTACTTAGAAACATTGTTACATTACTATTTACGAAAATGTTCATATATTCCGTTGTTTTATGTCATCAGAATTACAATTTACACAAAAACTATTTCTAAATACATAATAACATTTAAAATTTGGCTACTATATGATATTTAGTATTACGAGTATTACGTCGAACATTTATATGAGCCAACAAAAACCTTTAACAACAACAACAAAGACACAACACAGGATGAAAATGTTACACAAGTAAAACTTAGAAAATTCCCCATCCTTAAAGAATTTGTATCTAAATATATATTTTTTACAGAACTAAGGTTTAAAGGTTTGCTTGCTATTCCTCAAATTATTGTGTTAAACAGTTACTTAATGAAAAACAAGTTTCTATTTCTTGCTTTTCTTAGTTTACAATGTATCAGAAGTGTATCCAAAAAAACATTTTTTTACCTCATTTGCAGTGGTAAACGAAACTGCCTTGACCTCCGAATCCTGTGGTTTCATTGGCGGAAGGGGGGATGCTGCCTTGGAGGCCTGTGACTCCTGCTGGGGGATAATACCGCTCTGGTCCTCGCACCTCTTCAACTTGGCCTCCGTCTCACAGGGCAGCTCATTCCCAATGGACGATCGCTTCGAGTCCCTCGCCATCGGCGGAGTTGGACATCCGCTCGAGGATTGACCATTGTTCAGCTCCTGGAGCTCGGTTTGATCCACACCAGAACGCAGGGATTCTGCAAGAAGAAAGTAAAACAGGGAAATTAGAAAGTGCTATAAATCAAAAAAAAACGAGCAATCGAAAGTACTATTTATTATCAAATTGTAACCCAAAGAAATGGCAAATCTCTGGGATTATGCAAGCCCCGACCAGCGAAAGTCTTTGCTCATCAACTTGGAAGATGAAAATCTAGCTGTCGCTGAAGATGAGCTAACGATGATGAGCTAACCGTGATTCACCTAGCTATATATCCACTCCTCTCCAGGGCGAAAAAAAAATTACATGAGTAATTGCTTCGTGCCCGAGAAAGAAAGAAACCGCAATGGCGGTAAATTTTCTTTTTGCATAATTCCATTGACAAAAGGGAAAGCGGCCTACATATATAGTTAGGTGTAAGTGGTGCCACGCCCACCGTCACCAGCTAATATAACGCCTTGGGTTTGGAGGCGGAGGCCATCATCATCAATTACCGGATTGGATTGGATGGGATAGCTCCTCTCATCTGGGGGCTGTCAATTAGAGAGGATGCGTGGCCAATTTTTGTGGCCAACAAATTGGCCTTGACAAGCCAGGGAATACATGATATATGTATGGTGTAAATATCCAGTGGAGGGAGTTCACTAACCGCTCTGATCGATCCATCGATCGATCGTGTGCCTGCCCATACATAACTTAGCCCGATTTCCTTACAAGCCACGCGCCGATTTTCGCCACGATTCCAAATCGAAGCTGTGGACAAACCCATAGATACCCCAACATATCCGATGTGGTGTCCATAATCAACGGTTGACGGTTTTATGTTACCGCATAAATTTATAGCCACAGCCAAACACAAAGTTGTCACTGTGTTTGCACAAGTTTGCCTATCGAATGAGCGAAATTTGTAGTTGCCTTCCGGAGTTGTCATCAAGATCATTACCCCGGGATGTTTGCTTAACTATCGAAAGTGAATTACCAAGTCATCCAGGCTGCAATTTGGATATTGAATATCGGAAAAAAGTAATCAAGGTAATAGGAAACCAAGCTATGCTACTAAAAGTGTACTCCCTTACATAATATTGAAATTCAAGAAGCCTACAAAAATGTAAGCCCTATTGATTGCCTTTTTATAATTAAAATATATTTTTATATTTGACATAATATATGTTTTGTTAAAGATAAGCTAATATTCATAATGATGAAAAAATTTTTTGTTTTATTAATATTAAAATAACCTGTTGCTGAAGGAATTTTGTTGGTACTATAGATATTAAATACTTATACCTAAGAAAAATGTATGTAAATTATATTTAAAATTTAAAAAACTTGTAATGTTTTACAATATATAGTTTTCACTTGTGATATTTTACACATATTAAAGAATTGAACATATCATTTTGATTTGATTGATTGATTTTTATATGATGGACTAACTTTCACAAAATGAAACATTTTTCTTTCCCAATAAAATAAAACCTGCTGTTTCAGGAAATTGATCAATGCTGTAAAATAATTTACAAATTAGCCAAAGACAGCCGTTGCAAAGTGGCTTTAATGTTAGCGTTCGATTTTAGCCGCTTTAAATGATTGTGCAATAATCTGCGAATGAGCAAGCCACTGAAACTGTAAAGTAAACGAAACCCGATTCGCATGAAATGCATTTGTTGTTTAACAAATCAAAGCATAAATTATTTGATTATATCTGAGGGCTTTCAACATTTCGAGTCACATTTTTGATTTAAGATAAACAGTATGTTGACATTTTTGAAGCAGTTGGCTGTGCAAATTGTTGGCCAAACTGAGCTGTTTTGGCATTTCCCATTTTGCGTTCCTAGAAAACATTTAATAATTATTAATGGCAGACCTTCAGCAGCACCTGATCGCTATCTTCCTTTTTTTCTTTTCCCCGACTTTGAAATATCTCAATGACACACGACTCAAACAAGTCTGGCACACGACTTGCGAGGGGACATTTCTCATGGCAATTAGGCGATTAAGTGACATTAGCTACGACCAATTAATTGCAAGGCCAAGAAAATTGGCCAGTTCCCAGTCCTGTTGCGGATTTTCCCCAGATTGCAGACAGAATATTCTCACGGCCCTGTTTTGTCCCTGGAGAATCGCAACAAGTTTGTCGACAAATCTCCGGAGTGAGTGAGAGACCCCTTATGGCGATGGGTCGATTTTATGGCTGAGAAACCGACCACCTCAGTAGTTATATGACCGAAAACTATACTTTCCCATATCCGATCCCATTTCCCAACCCATGGTGCACTTTAATTTTTATGAGTCCCGGAAAAACTCAGCAGCGGGTGATTTCATTCAGAATTTCTCGTCCTGCCAGGTTTTTTCTCACTTTGTTGTCGTGGGCACGTGGATTTTCCCAAATGTTGCTACGAGTTTCGGTGAATGATTGGTATATATACTTTATAAGGTTGGGAAAAATAAAAGAGTATCTGGAACATTTCAGAAATATTCAACGGCTACCAATCTCAGTTTGAACTACCTACAGATTTATTACTTTAATGTACGTTATAAGATAGAAACCCATTTGTTTTTAAAAAGATGGTGGAATTCTAAACTTTCTCTACGTATAATATCCTCAATTTCGGAATTAGGATGTAGCATTATTATTCTATAATTCCGAATATTTATAAAAATTGCTGGCAGTTTTGGTGAATAAAATGAAAGTTAAAAAAAAATGTTGGAAGAACTTTGGAAAAGGAAGTATCCAAAGGCTACCAATCTTTATTTTTAATACATATATTGCCTAATTTGGGTAACATATTTATTAATTTATTTATATTTGTAGAATGAGCACTTGCTGATTTTAAAGAAGATTGATCTACCCCAAGCTTTCCCTTCTTATTGAAATTTTGGAAAATGTATTTAAGAGGTTGGGAAAAAGTAGTAATTTGTTAGTTTTAAAGAAGATTGGCTTATTTAAACTTTCTCTACGCATAAAACATATATTTAATTCTGCAGTTGGGAGGTGCTTATCCCGAAAAACACACGTCTCTTTAGAAAATGTTAATTGCAAATAACCAAATTACACACATTGTCTGCGTAGACCAATAGAAAGTGCTTGTGAGCTTCCACTGGCAGCAGTATTTGCACCTTGTGCAGCATTTACCTCCACAGCCACATCCACAGCCACATCCACAGCCACATCCACATCCAAATCCACATCCACCAGGTGGAAAAGCAAACTCTCCCCCATACAAGATCAATCAACATCAAGGCAAAGAGATTCGGTGTCAGTGTCCAGGGTTCGCATTCGGTCAGCCGAGCTCATAATGACGGTTTGGGTTGGTTGGGATTTTAGTTTGGGTTCGCTAAAACCCGACATGTGTCGAGATTTGCGAGGCAATACAAACACGAGATGCTGTGCACAGTGGGCACACAGTGTGACACTGAACAGTGGACAGTGGACAGTGGGACGGACGTACCTGCACTGGGCGATGAAAAATAATTGAAATTCCGAAATATCTTATTTGGCATTAGGCAGCTGTTGCTCTTGCCTTTTTTGCGGATTTTGGAAAACTTAACAGCAACCTGTCTTAACCCATGGCGACCCACAAAAACATGTCCAATGAAAATGCGCGTAATTAAAACGAACAACAGCCAGTCGAAGCTGGCAAAATGGCAAAATGGCAAACTGGCATTTCAATTAGCTGCGTTTAGGAGACTCGAAAAAAAACTTAAACTGAAATCACTTCACTCGACTCGCCTCAACTGGAAAATTAAGCGTATGTAACTTTGTATCTGTTTTATTTCACTTTGGACACCGAGTTTTCTTAGAAAAACGGGGGGAGTGCAAAGGGTTTTCAGGGGATAGACACTGCCTTAATTGCAATTTAACAACAAATTGTTTTTAGCAACGAGACAGAGGCACTTTCAGTGGGCTGGAGTCAAGTGCCTGGCAGCGATTTTGTGCAAATTACTCGACATAATTGAGCTAAATATGTTACACAAAAGTATCTCAAGTATGCAAGCAAATCATTTATGAAAAGGCACAGAAAGCATTCCAAGGATTTTAGCAGTTAAAAGCTTTTAATTGGGAATTTTTGATAAAATGTTAATGAATTTTAAGTGGAATAGGTTGGAATTTTACAAATGTTTGGAGCTTTAATGGTGTTTTTTAACCAAAACATGTATTTAAAAAATAGGCAAATTCAATTATAAATATTTTAAGCAATGATATAAAGTCTTTAATAAGTGTTTTTTGATTATGTAGTTTTTTGAGTAATTTGAGGCTTTAATTCGTATAATTTTACATTTTACAAGGCGGAAGGGCAATTAACAATCTGAAGACCGAAAGTTACATTTCCATTAAAATAAATTGAGAACAACAGCTGAGTGCACGCTATTCAAATTCATTATCATTCTTCTTATACCCCTAATGACATACATTGTAAACAGTATTTGCAATAAATTATGCATTGTGCCATTCAATTTGTTTGGTTAAAAAATAAGACCGGCAGCTGGGGTCGTTATAAACAAGTCCCAATAAACAGTGGATAGCACTATGGGGGTAATACGGCCAGCGGAAGAACTTTTCAGGCACTACGGATACGAATACGTAGGTATATCCACAAGATATATACGTGTATCCACAAGATCGATTTCTGCAGAATGTCAATCACAGGGAGAGACTAAAGAAAAAAGACTCCATGATGAGCAGATCGCTTCAAACTGCCCACGAAGTCGGCGGTGATGAAAGACACATATCAAGGGATTTATGGCACATCAGGGCAAAGATTTTTTATTTCATCCATCGAATATTGTTTTTAATTCTTATTTGTAGTTCATTCCCAATGGCAAACGCACATTTCAAGGTCGTAGTATCGTCGCTTGGCGCATTTCCATTTATTTTTCCTATCTCTCTTTATATTTCAGCCGCTAAATAAGCCTTTAAAACACTTTTCGTTTTTGGCTCAAGTTCTAATGATTATTTTTAGATAAGTTGTGCACGAAAACATTGTCTGCTATATATTTGCGAAGCCAAAAACAAAACAAAGCCAGCGAAATAGACGA